GAGGATGGCACATGACTGGGCAGTGTTTTGTTCTGTTGTATATAGGGTCTGTATGGGTTGGAACTGACTCGACGACACCTAACAACAACAGCAACAACCCCAAGATCATTCTCCACACAACAGTCAGACAGCCTTAAAAAAATAAGGATTGTTGTAGGGAAAAAAAATCACAAAGTTTAGTAAAGCAAAAAGAAAGTTTTATTCCACATATATCCAAAAAGGCAAAAGCGGAAAGCAGACAAGCATGCTGCCAGAGCCATGTCTGCCCAAATCCTAGGAAATTTTACAGAACAGACAAAAGTGGGAAAACAGACAAGCATGCTGCTAGAGCCATGTCTGCCCAAGTCCAAGGAACGTTAGAGTCATCAGTATATATTAACATTACAAAATGGGCAAAACCATCGAAAGTTTCACCTTTTCACACATTGGCTAGAATTTTGAATTCTTTCTTAACAATCATTGGTACAGGTTTCAGTAATGACAGTCAGGAGGGTCTGCATTGATCCAACAAATTTTCTATTAATTAAATGCTAGTAGAAAAAGATAAGAGCGGAAAGTCTTTTCTGTTCTGTTTGAATGGTTTATATGTAAGATTCCCTAAAAGATATTTTCCAAGATTATCTTAGCTATTGTCTTTATACTTCAGGGCCCAGTTGATGTGTCCTTGTGAGTCCTTGCGAGCCCAGCTCCAGCTGGGTCACATTCTCTATGCTCAAGGACAGGGAATAATAACTCCAATATTATTTCCTAAATCAGGATGTAAAAAGGATAGCGAGAATGGTTGCACAACTTGAATAATGTACTCAGTGTCACTGAACTGTACATGTAGAAATGGTTGAGACATGTTTTGTTATGTGTATTTTCACCACAATGAAAAAAAAAAAGCATGTAGTTTTTTCATTCTGAGTTAAAAACCTTTCAAAAGCATCCCATTTCAATAGCTCCTAGAATAAAGTTCAGTATTTCCTTCATTTATTTAGCAAATGTATATTCAGCACGTGTTATGTGCCAAGTATTATGTGAGGGGCTTGGGATAAATTAATAAAGCCGACAAATATTCATGCTCTTGTCTTACATTTTAGAAAAGGATAAAAAATAAGCAATTAATATAATACATATGTATATAGTATGTTGTTGGTGATAAGTACTGTGGATAAAATAAAAAGTAGAGCAGAGTGAGGGGAATAGAGGCAACTGCAATTTTAAATAGGGTGATCAGATGACGTTTGAGCAAAAGCTTGAAGGAGGTAAGGAACAAGCTGTGTGGATAAGGGTGCTCCAGGCAAAAGGAACAGATTATGAGAGGCCCTGAAGTGGAATATGCCTGGTATGTTCAGGGAACAGCAGGGAGGCCAGTGTGGCTGGAGCAGAGTGAGTGAGGGGGGCGAGCAGAAGAAGGTGAGGATAGAGAGGAAGGGGGAGACGGGACACAAGTCTTTTTGGGCCTCAGTTCCCTCATCTGTAAAATGAAGATAATAATAATACCTACCTCACAGGGCTGTTATGAAGATGGAAGTAATATATAATAAAGCGCTTAGAAGAATGCTGACCAATGGTAAGGTCTCTATGAGTATTAGCTATAATTAAAATCACTATTATTACTATTATTTGAGTGAGCATTTCAGCCTCGAAGGGAGCATGTTCAGCCTCCGCCGCTAGGGGGCAGCAGCGAGTTCGGTCCGCAATCCAGTCAAGCGCTCAGGGTCAGATGAGGTGAGCCACTTCCCAGGTGCTTCTCGCCTCTGTGGCAGCCACAGCCGCCGTCTCTGGCAGCTTCAGGCCACACCACAGCCACGTGAGCACTCAGTCCTGGCGCCGGCCGAGCCCTCTGAGTCCGCTGCATCTCTGCACATGGTGTTCTCAGGACCATCCTTCCTTCTTCGCGGGCTCAAGCCCTGCCTGAAGGGGGATGGGGGCTGAGTGACCTCCTGGATCCATTCCCCAGCAGTTGCCAGGATGTTGTTGAAAAAGGGGTGAAACGGTGAGGGTAGGAGGCGAAGAAAAAATCCAGAGACTCAAGAAGCCCTTCCCCCAGTTCCTC